TTGAACAAACTTTCTTTGCTCCATTGCATATTCTTTGCTCCTTTGTCAAAGATTAGTAGACTGTAAATCTGGGGGTTTATTTCTGGGTTTTCTGTTCGGTTCCATTGGTCCATATGTCTGTTCTTGTTCCAATACCATGCAGTTTTGATAATTATGTCTTTGTAGTATAGTTTGAAATCTGGGAGTGTGATGCCTCTATTCCCCCCCCCTTTTTTTTTCAGGAGAGCTTTGGCTATTTGGGGTTTTTGGTGGTTCCATATGAATTTCATCAATATTTGTTCTATTTCTTTGAAGAATGTCATTGAAATTTTTAATGGAATAGCATTGAATCTGTAAATTGCTTTTGGTGGGATGGCCATTTTGAGAATGTTAATTTTTACAATCCATGAGCAGGGGATATCTTTCCATTTCTTTGTGTCTTCTATTTCTTTTAACAGTGTTTTATAGTTTTCTTTGTGTAGGTCCTTTACCTCTTTTGTTAGGTTTATTCCCAAGTATTTGATTTTTTTTGTTTCAATAATAAAAAAGATGGTTTTCTTGATTTCTTCTTCTTCAGATTGATTGTGTATTGTTTGTGTGTTGATTTTGTATTCTGCTACTACACTGAACTAGTTGATTATTTTGAGTAGTTTTTCTGTGGAGTTTTTGGGGTTCTCTATGTATATTATCATATCATCTGCAAATAGTGATAGTTTGACTTCTTTCTTGGCTATTTGGATTCCTTGTATGTCTTTCTCTTATCTTATTGCTCTGGCTAGGACTTCCAGTATTATATTGAAAAGCAGTGGTAAGAGTGGACATCCTTGTTTTGTTCCAGATCTTAATGGAAATGCTTTCAGCTTTTCACCATTGAGAATGATATTAGCTATGGGCTTGTCATATATGGCCTTTATGATGTGAGGTATGTTCCTTGTATCCCGAGAATTTCAAAGGCCTTTATCTAAATGGGTGTTGTACTTTGTTGAAAGCTTTCTCAGCATCTATTGATATTATCATATGGTTTTTATATTTCTTTTTGTTGATGTGTTGGATTGCATTGATTGGTTTTCGGATGTTGAACCATCCTGTGTCCCTGGAATAAATCCTCCTTGGTCATGGTGAATTATCTTATGGATACATTGTTGGATTCTGACAGCTAAAATTTTATTGAAGATTTTTGCATCAGTGTTCATTAGAGAGATTGGCCTGTAGTTTTCTTTTTTTGTGTTGTCCTTGTTCTGTTTTGATATTTGTGTAATATTGGCTTCATTGAACGAGTTTGGTATTATCCCTTCCTTCTCAATTTTTTGTAAGAGTTTGTGAAGGATAGGCACTAATTCATTTTTGAATGTTTGGTAGAATTCATTTGTAAATCCATCTGGTCCTGGCTTTTGTTTTTGGGGAGGGTTTTGATTACCATTTCAATTTCACTGCTTGTAACTGGTCTGTTTAGGTGCTCTATTTCTTCTTTATCTAGTTTTGGGTGATTGTAGAGTTGTAGGAGTTTGTCCATCTCTTCTAGATTGTTGAGCTTGTTTGCATTTAACTGTTCATAGTAGTTTCTGATTATTCTTTTGATTTCTGCTGTGTCTGTTGTGATTTTTCCTCTTTATTTGGGATCCTAATTTATTTGTGCTTTCTTCCATTTTTCCTTTGTGAACCTGGCTAGGGGTTTGTCTATTTTACTTATTTTTCAAAGAACCAGCTCTTGGTTTCATTGATCTTTTGGATTGTTTTTTTAGCTTTGATTTCATTTCTGCTTTGATTTTTATTATTTCTTCTACTGGTTTTAGGGGTTTTTTTTGGTGGTTCTTTTTCTAGTTCTTTGAGCTGTGAGATCAGGTTGTTTCTTTGAGTTCTTTCTTGTTTCTCTATGTGAGCCTGTATTGCTATATAGTTTTCTATTATTACTGCTTTTGCTACATCCCACACGTTTAGGGAATTGGTGTCCTCCTTGTCATTCAACTCAAAGTATTTTTTAATTTCTTCTTTGATCTCCTCATTAATCCAGTGGTCTTCCAGTAGTGTGGGTTTCAATTTTCATGAGGTGAGAGGGTTCCTTACCTTCTTTTTATGATTTATTTCTATTTTGATGCCTTCATGGTCAGAGAAGATGATTGGTATGATTTCAGTCTTGGTGTATCTGTTGATGTTTGTCTTGTGTCCCAGTATGTGATCCTGAAGAATGATCTGTGTGTGCTTGAGAAAAATGTTACTCAGATTTTTTTGGGTTTAGTGTTCTGTAGATGTCTGTTAAGCCCATGACTTCTAGATCCTTATTTAGAGCTTTAGTGTCTTATTGTCTCTTTGATCTATCCATTGTTGATAGTGGTGTATTGAAGTCTCCTACTACATATGTGTTTTCTCTGATGTCTGTTTTCAGAGATGATAATTGTTGTCTGGTATATTTTGGTGTGCCTTCATTTGGTGAATATATGTTAATGAGTATTATTTCTTCTTAAAGTATTGTCTCCTTGATCATAATGTAGTGACCGTCAGGGTCTCTTTTTACCTTTTTGAGTTTGAAATCTGTTTTATCTGATATGAGTAAGCTGTTACTGCCTTTTTTGGTCCATTTGCTTGTAGGATTGTTTTCCATCTTTTTATTTTCAGTCATTTTTATCTTTTGTAGTTAAGTGTGTTTCCTGGAGACAGCAAAATGTTGGGTTTTGGGTTTTGTTTCTTAATCCAGCCTGTGACTCTGTCTTTTTATTGAAGAGTTTAGTCCGTTTACATTTAGAGTTAATATTGATATGCTAGCGTCTGTATCTGCCATTTTGTTTGTCTTTTCTCTGATTTTATTTATTCTTTTATTTAATGATTTTTTTTTTTTTTTTTGGTCTTGTTTCGTTCTTATTCATCCTTCTGTTGGTTCTGGCTTTAGGACTCCTTGAAGTATTTTTGGAGTGGGGGTTTAGTCGTAATGAAATTCCGGAGTTTCTGTTTGTCTGGGAAGATCTTTATTCTTTCTTCATAGAGGAAGGAAAGCTTTGCGGGATAGAGTATTCTTGGTTGGCATTTGTTGTCTTGGAGTTTGTTGACTGTGTCCCTCCACTCTGTCCTTGTCTGTAGTGTTTCTTCGGAGAAGTCTGATGTCAGTCTGATTGGTTTTCCTTTGAATGTTACCTGTGTCTTCCCTCTTGTCAGCTTCATTATTTTTTCCTTGTCTTGGATTCTTGGGAGCTTTACTATTATGTGTCTTGCTGTATTTTTCCTTTCATCATGGAAGTTTGGTGGTGGTCTTGTTTTTGCAAGTTTTTTTTTAATATGTGCCATTCTCATTGATGTAAAGTGGGATCTCTTTGTGGTTTTCATTTGCATTTGATTATAAGGGATGTTGAGCATTTTTTCATATACCTGTTGACCATTTGCATTTCCTTGGAGAAGTGTCTTTTTAGCTCTTCTGCCCAGGTTTTGACTGTATTGTTTATTTTGTTTTTCTTGAGTTGTGTGAGTTCTTTGTAGATCTTTGTGATCAGTCCCTTATCAGTTGTATAGAGTGCAAAGATTTTTTTTCCCAATCAGTATGTTGTCTCTTTGTTTTGGCTAATGTCTCTTTTGCTGTCCAGAAGCTTTTTAGTTTGATGTAACCCCAGCTATTTATCTTTTCCTTCACTTTCTTTGCTTTGGGGGATGAGTCCTTAAAGATATTACTGAGATGTATGTCATGTAGTGTTTTACCTATATTTTCTTCTATATGTTTTATGATTTCAGGTCTTATATTCAATTCTTTTTATCCATTTTAAGTTTTTGTGCATGGTGTGAGGTAGTCGTCTAGTAAAACTCAGATTTTAAATCTTAGTGATCCCTATAGTTCTCTATCAAAATTCTATAGCTCAAATAGAATTTGTATGATTTCTGAATTTGGGGAGACTTGACATACACATAGTTTTTAAAGTTTAATTCCCCAGAAACTTATTAAACTAAATTAACAAATGGGCCAGAAGTCTTAAGATCACCAACTATCATGTGAAATAAATGTAGTGTTAACTATGTATTCCCTTTAAACATGTTAGGAGACTGTATGTATTTAAAATCCATTAGTTTTCAAGAATAAAAGATTGGTTTTCTTGAATAATTTTTATTCCTTATTTATTTTTATTTTTTAAAGGTTTATTTCATCTATCCATACAAAAGCTGGGGTGTAGGCCAGAGGTGCGGGGGGTAAGAGGATTCACCAGAGACAGAGTGGGGAGCAGAACAGGCAGATCTACTGAAATACACTGCTGAGGGGAGCAGCGGGCAAGACAGGAGATTCTACTGTGCCCTGTGGGTCAGCTCCCTGGCTGGGGATTGAACTAGTGCTGCAGTGGCTGTGGATAGCTTCATAGTGCTGAGACTTAACTCCTTGCACCACCAGAGAGGCCCCTCCTTATTTAGTTTTAAAAGATATTTTTCTGTTTGTTTCCAAATGTGAGAAGTAATTAAAATGTATTTTTTAATCTATAATATATCTAGTGGCTTTTTCCATCACTAACACTATGTAAATTATTAACTGTCTAGCACATTAAACTGATAAAATGCTAGCTAATTTGCTTGTGTTTAAATCACCACTGAATTTTAATTACATATTAACTAATAAATGGTCTTTGTTTAAAGCTATATATTGTGCATTGTTGAAATCAATTTTATTCTTTATAAGGACAGGGAGTGTGTAATTTTTTTATTATATGTGTAGAAAATATCTTATTTTCATTATATTCAAGCACAGCATTCACTCTTAAGCAGTGCTCAAGACATCTTCTGTCAGGTTCAGGAAAGTTAGGTTCTAAGTGTATCAGAAAATTCTTTGTTTCTTAAGGTCTTTTGTTAGCCCATCTGTGATTTGGACTTTTTATGAAATCACACTTCATTTTTCTCTGTCTACAAAATGATAACTCATGTTATATGCACCATGATTTTATTATGACAGTTGAGTTTACTTTTGATGGGAAAATTTCATGTACATTGAAAATTTATGATACTTTATAAGGGAACATTTTAATTTGATAAATCATTTAATACATCTTTTGAAATTTCAGGGTGTGCTCATGGTTGGACCCCCAGGCACTGGTAAGACTATGCTAGCGAAAGCTGTTGCCACTGAATGTGGCACAACATTCTTCAATGTTTCCTCTTCTACACTGACATCTAAATATAGAGGTGAATCTGAGAAGTTAGTCCGTCTGTTATTTGAAATGGTAAGTGATGATATATTTAGATTTCAGATACACTATATAGGCAAGTTTTACCTCTTTAATCTAGGTCCATTCACCTAACGATTTTTTTTTTTAAGGGGCAGTTGTATGTGTAGTTTAATTGTTCTTGACTCCTCAGTGAGATGGGTGGTGGGCTTTGTGGGGTAGTTGATAGGCCTTTGGTTTACTTTCCTCTCTGAGGTAAAAGAAAGATTCTTAACATCCTGTTCAGTGAGGATGGAAGAGACTTTAGAAATGTGTGTGGTTTGACTGATATTTTTGGATCTCTTATAAGCTGGTTGAACAGAAGATTATTTTAATATATATCTTAAAAATCAGAAATTGATTTATCTTTAAAGTTTATTCCTTTTTCCTGAGGGATTGCAAAATTACTTAAGAATGCATATTCAAGGATAGAGGCGATTTGAGGAAATTTGTTTTATTAAGGAAATTTTCATATATAAGAGTAGAAAGAATAGTTCTTGAACCCAACTTTACCAACCATATAACTTTATTTTTAGAAATTTCCTTTTTCTGATAGGATTTAACCTGTCACTAACCAAATGATGGCATTAAAACAATAAGAAATTTCTGCTTTCTCTTGCCAGTTATATAAGAAATGGAATTTTAAAAGAATTTGTATTATTTTATGAGATTAATGATTTCTTAAAATTTTTCACAAAGGCTAGATTTTATGCACCCACCACGATCTTCATTGATGAGATAGATTCTATCTGCAGTAGAAGAGGAACCTCTGATGAACATGAGGCAAGTCGCAGAGTCAAGTCTGAACTACTCATTCAGATGGATGGTAATTGATATTTAATTGCTTTCTCAAAACTGTTATATTTCCTTTTTGAATTTTGTGTGGATTCATCCTCAGTGAATAGAAGGCATCCTGGGTTGATTTTTAAGGCATCCTGAGTTCATTTGTACACTCACCCACTTTTTTAATTTGTTCAATACATTTAAAAAGCATTAATTAATACTTGTTATGAGTCTTCTACCATTTGGGGTTCCAAGGTTACAAAGAAAAGGATTGTCATCTTCAGTTTAAAAAATAGTTATTTTTCATAAAAATGTTACTAATGTCAACAAACAGCAGATTTATCATGGTTATTTTAAAATGAATTAATATTTTAAGAAATTCTTAATTTTAATTTCTAATGATAAATATTGATTGCTGTATTTCACATGCATGCAAAAGCTCTTTGGAGCTCACTACATTTAAAGAGTATAAAAGAATCCTGAGTCCAAAAAGTTTGAGAACCACTGATCTAGATGGGAAACAGGCAGTTGACAAACAATTGCAATATATCCTGTAGTAAAACTAAACACTGGGTGTCTTGAAAAACACTGTAGGAGAGTTATCATCTCGAGGAAGGGAGTCATTAACAGTTATAACCCAAGTGGCTTTGAAGCACTGCTAGAAATTATACAGACAAAGGAGAAAAGACATTAGGGAGCCATTAAAGGAAGAGAGTGATGGGCTCAGAGCTGCTTTTTTAGAGACAGATTGTCCTAAGAGTTGTGTGGTTAACAGAAGACTCTTTCAGCAAAATATGAGAAAACATATGTTGTGTTAAAAAATATCCAGTGCATTGTTTCAGAACAAATGTGGTTCTCCACCAACCATGGATAATTATTGAATACTTACAATGTGTGTTGAGTGTTCTGCCAGACACAATAAGATATATGAAATGATGTACTAGGAGTTCCTTTTTTCAATGAGTTTACCATTTTAACTTCTGCTAAAATATGAAGGAAAGGAGTGAATATTTTATATTTCGGGGGAGGGATATAGAGAGAAATACTAGATGTTTTCAGAAATTTACAGAATACAGATTTAGTCCGCTGAATTTCATTGAATAGTATTTGTGACTACTATTGATTTTCATTATTTTGTGATAATAGTTGAAATAGGAGTTTCATAATAATTTATTATCACAATTCCAAATTGAACCAGGTTGTTGCTTTATACTCACTACTTTGTTATGCCAAGTTAGAAACTCTTATCAGTAAAGTTTGTGAATTTTTTATCTTTTATTTTTTTTGTGGCCTAGAATTTCCATTGTAACTAAAGTTTTTTTCCTAAAATTTTAATTCATGAAATGTAGACTCTGTATACATGTATACATGTATTTGGTTTGGTATTAAAAATAGTATTTTCAGCAGTGCCTGATTCTTAGTTTTGTTTCTTAATATTTTTGTTTTTTACAAGTGACTTTAAAGTTTGAAGGTCAATATTATTGCAGTATAGCCTTTCTTTCAAAAATGTGCACACACACACACACACATATCAAATTTGGGGGGTAATTGCTTTATAATTTTGCTTTCTTACTATCAAGGTAGCATTGTTTTATAAATTGTATATGATTCAGAAGTTAAGTTCACATCTCTTCAGATGTATATTCCCACATCACACCAACCACCAAATTACGCATAGTCCTCAAACATAATCCATAAAGAAACCTCCTTTCTTTTCAATTTTGTCATCAGTTTTTTAAGGTTTATTTTTGGGTTGGTTTTATTTGGCCCTTTGTTTTACCTGTCTATATTCCATATATCCGTTAAACCAACCAGTATTTGTCTTTCTCCTTCTGGTTTATTTCACTTAGTATAATCCCTTCCATTTCCATTCATTTTGACACAAATAAAAGATGTCATCATTATTATAGTTGCGTAGTATTCCACTGTGTATATATGCCATAGCTTCTTAATCCACTCATGACATTGGACACTTAGGTTATTTCCATAATTTGACTTGTGAATGGTATTGGATTAAATACAGGAGTCCATATAATATCCTTTCATATTAATGTGTTTTGTTTTTTTTTTCTTTCATTCTTTGGGTAGATACCTAGGAATGGAATTGCTGGGTCATATGATAAATCCATTTTTAATATTTGAGAATCCTCCACACTGTTTTCCATAAGGGTTTTACCAGTTTGCATTCCCACCAACAGTACATGAGTGTTTCTTTTTCTCCACATGCTCATCAATGTTTATTGTTCCTGTTTTTTTTTTCCTTTTTTTTTTTGAAATGGGGCGTTCTCACAGGTGTGAGTATCTCACTGTGGTTTTCATTTGCATTTCTCTGATGGAAGGTAAAGATGAGTTTTTTTCATGAGCCTTTTGGCCATTTGTATGCATTCTCTGAAGAAGTGTCTGTTTAGCTTTTCTGGCCATTTTTTGATTTTTTGTTGTTGTTGCAGTATATGAGTTCTTTGTAGATTTTGTCAGTGTATGATGTGTAAATATTTCCTTTCTCCCTTTCAGTAAGCCATCTTTTCACTTTAATGATAGTTCATATTGCTGTGCAGAAACTTAGTTTGTAGTCCCATTTGTTTTAATTTGCCTTTGTTTCCCTTGCTGTTGTAGTCAAGTCCCCAAAGACATCTGTGAAGCCAATATCTTGCAATGTTTTGCCTGCTTTCTCCTATGCATTTTATAGTTTTAGATCTTCTGACTTTAATTCATTTTGAGTTATTTTTTATGTTGTGAAATAGTGGTCTATGTTCATTCCTTTGCATATAGCTGTCCAATTTTCCCAGCACCATTTGTTGAAGAGACTTTCCTTTCTCCAATGTATACTCTTTGCTCTTTTGTCATAGATTAACTCTCCATGTAAGTGTGGATTTATTTCTGACCTCTTAATTTTATTCCATTGATGTGTTTCTGTTTTTATTCCCATACCAATTACTGTAGCTTTATTGTATAATTTGAAGTACGGGAGTATGATAACTCTCTCTCTTTTTTTTTTTTTTTTTTGGTCAATATTGCTTCTGTCTATTAGGAGACATTGTAGTTCCATTTAAATTTCATTTATGTTTGTTCTATTTATTTGAAGAATGCCATTGAAACTTTGACCAGGGACTGCATAAATTCTGTATATTACTTTGTAAAATGGCCATTTTAATAATGTTAATTTTTCCAATCTGTGAACAGAGACTATCGTCTTTCTATTCTTTGTGTCTTCTATTTCTTTTAACACTGTCTTTATGGTTTTCATTGTATAAGTCCTTTATCTCTTTTGTTAAGTTTATTCCTAGTTACTTAATTCTTTCTGGTGAGCTCATAAATGGGATTGTTTGTTGATTTCCTTCTCTTCTATTTGTTTGCATATAGGAATGCAATTGATTTTTGTCAATTTATTTTGTAATAAATTGCCACTTTACTGTGCTTTGATTTTTTTTCTTTTTTTTCCCTAAGATTTATTTATGCATATAAGAGCTGGGGTACAGTCCAGAGATGTGGGGGGTGAGAGGATTCACCAGAAACAGAGTAGGGAACAAAACAGGCAGATTGACTGAAATACACTGCTGAGGGGAGAAGCGGACGAGACAGGAGAGATCTGTTTTGCCATATCTGTGGCTCCCTAGCTGGCGGGGTTAGAACTGGTGCTGCAGAGGCTTCAGATTGCTTCATAGTGCAGTGCTTATTAACCCCTTGGGCCACCAGGGAGGCCCGATTTATTGTTTCTTATAGTTTTTAGTGGAGTCTTTAGGGTTTTATATGTATATTATGTTATCTGCAAATAGTTTTATTTCTTCCCAGTTTAGATTCCTGTTATATCTTTCTCTATTGTCTAATCCATGTAACTGGGACTTCTACTGTGTTAGATAGTGTGGTAAAAGTACATATCTTTGTCTTGTACCTGATCTTAGAGAAAAAGATTTCAGTCTCTCACCAGTGAATATGATGTTTGCTGAGGTGTTTATTATGTTTAGGTATGTTCCTTCTATCCTCACTTTTGGAGATTTTTTGTCATAAGTAGATGTTGAATCTTAGCAAATACTTTGTCTTCATCTTTTGTATCATGATTTTTATTTTTTCTATTATTGATATGGTAAATAACATTGCTTGATTTTCAATGTTGAACTATCCTTGCATCCCAGGAATAAGCCCCACTTGGTCATGATGTATAATCCTTTTAGTGTATTGTTGAATTTGGTTTGTTAAGATTTTGTTGAAGATTTTTGCACTAACTTTTTAAGGGATATTGGCTTGTAGTTTTCTTTTTGTGATGTCCTTATCTGCTTTTGATATCAGAGTAATGTTTGTCTCATAAATGTGTTGGAAACATTCCCTCTTCTTCCATATTTTGGAAGAGTTCATGAATAGGTGTCAGATCATCTTTGAAAGTTTGGTAGAACTCACTAGTGAAACTGGTCTTGGGCTTTCTATTTTGGGGAGAGGTTTGTTTGTTTTTTAAATCAATTAAATATTTATTTGAGAACAGGACAAGGCTTAGGGGTGTTTTAAAGGATCAAATAAGGGTGTGCTCTAATTTAGCTTAGGTCATTTGTTTGAAATTTGAGGTTGATTGGCAGTAACCTTCACACAGAATGTTGCAATAGGGGAGATTTATAACAGTTAGTAGATGGCTTTCCTGTTTCTTTAAATTTTAAATGTAGTATATTATTGTTAAATTTTGGACAATATATGATTTCTCCACCCAGGTGTGAGCACTGTAGTTCTTCCACCACCAAAGTACCCAGAGTCCATCACCATATTCTCTTGTGCTTTTCCCACTGTTTTCACTCCTCTTCTCTCCCTGCTCCTCCTGGATACCTCATATCTATGGTTAACTTTCAAGTTTGTCTTTGTCTGACTCTTTGGTTTTTCTGCATTCCACATATAAGCGAAACCATCTATCTTTGCCCTTCTGGCTTATTTTGCTTAGTATCAGCACTTCCAGCTCCATCCATGTTGCCACAAATGGCATGAATTTATCTTTTTTGATCACTGGGTAATATTCCATTTAGTTTATGTACATCTTGATCTACTCATCTGTTGGACATCCCTGTTTTGTACCAGATCTTAGTGGAAAGGCTTTCAGTTTTTCTCCGTTGACAGTGATACTGGCTGTAGGGTTTGTGGTTTTTAGTATGTTGAGATATGTTCCTTTTGTCCCAAATTTTTCAAGGGAGTTCATCATAACTAGATATTGAACTTAATCAAATGCTTTTGCACCATCTGTTGATCTGATCATATGGATTTTAACTTTTTTTTACTTGATATGATGAAGTATGTTGACTGACTTTCAGATGTTGAATCATCCTTCTGTCCCTGGAATAAATCCCACTTGGTTATGGTGTGTTATCCTTTTGATGCATCATTGGATTAAGTTTGCTAAGATTTTATTGAGGATTTTAGCATCCGTGAGGGATGCTTTAGGGAAATTGCCCTGTAGCTTTCTTTTTTGTGTGTTGTCTTTGTTTGGTTTTGGTATTAGTGTGATGTTTGTCTCATAAAATGAATTTGAAAGTATTCCTTCTTTCTTGTTTTGAAAGTTTGAGCAGGATGGGTAGTAGTTCATCTTTGAAAGTTGGTAGAACTCACTTATAAACCCATCTCGTCCTGGGCTTTTGTTTTTTGGAAGAGTTTTGATTGCTGTTTCAACTTCTTGCTTGTAATTGGTTTGTTCAAGTTTTCTATTTCTTCCTAATTCAGCCTTGGGTGATTATATAATTCTAAGAATTTGTTATGTTATCTAGATTGTTGAACTTGCATATAAATTTTAATAGTAATATGTTATTATCCTCTGGATTTCTGCTGTGTCTCTTGTAATTTTTACTTTTTTCATTAATGATCCTATTTATTTTTCTCTCTTTTGTTCTTTGTGAGCCTAGCTAAGGGTTTGTCTTATTTTTTCAAAGAACAGATTTTGGTTTCATTGGTCTTTTGTGTCTTTTTGACTTCTGTTTTATTTATTTATGCTGCCATTTTAATGATTTCCTTCCTTTTTAGTTGTTTTTATTGTTCTTTCCTAGTTCCTCAAGATAAGAGAATGTTTCTTTGGTTTCTTTCTTGTTTCTTGATGTGGGCCTATATTGCAATACACTTCCGTTAGTATTGCTTTTGCTATATGTCCCATACACCTGGAAGGTTGTGTCCTCATTCTTTTTTGTGTGTGTGTGTGTGTCCTCATTCTTATTTGTCTCAGGTATTTTTTTATTTCTTCTGTCGTTTTCTCATTAACCCAGGGCTCTTTCAGTAGTGTGCTGTTTTATCTCTGTGTATTGGAGAATTTTCTGCTGCCTTTCTGTAGTTGAATTCTAGTTTGCTACCTTTATGTTTAGAGAGGATACTTTGTATTATTTCAGTCTTCATGTACTTGCTGTTATTTTGTGATGAGGTATGTGGTGAGTCCTGGAGAATGATCCATGTGTGCTTGAGAAGACTGTGTATTCAGTTTTGGGGATATGGTGCCCTATAATGTCTGTTAGGCCCATGTGGTCTAGATCTCAGTTTAGGGTGATTATCATCTCATGTGTTTCCTGTCTTGTTGAGCTGTTCACTGGTGAGAGTGGGGTGTTGAGACTCCCATCACATACATATTTTCTCCAGTGTCAGCTTTCAGATGTGAAAGTAATTGTCCAATATATTTTGGTGCCCCTTTATTTGGTATTTACTGATGAGTGTTACATCTTCTGGTGTATTGTCCCCTTGATCATTAATTATATCATATCCAGCCCTGTCTCGTCACTTTTTTTTTAGCTGGAAGTCTATTTTATGTCTATTCCTGCCTTATTTTGGGTGTCATTTGCTTGTAGAGTTGTTTTCCAGTCTTTTACTTTCAGTCTGTGTTTATCTTTGAAACTTAGGTGTATTTCTTGGAGGCAGCGAAAGGCTGGATTCTGTTTCCTAATCCAGTATGATCCTGTGTCTTTTTATGGTGAGTTTAGCCCAATGATACTAGAGTGATTATTGATATGTGGAAGTCTGTTATTGCTATTTTGTTCATATTTTTTGTGATTCTGTTCAATTCCTTGTTCAGTTCCTCATGTTCATTCCTCTCTTGAAGGTCATTTTAATCTTTCCTGGGAGGGGGCTTTTGTGGTTAGAAATTCCTGAAGATTTTGTTTGAGAAGGTCCTAATTTCTTCCTCATATGGGAAGGAGAGCTTTGTAGGAGAAAGTATTCTTGGCTGGCATTTTTTTCTTGAAGTACTTTGAATATGTGACTAGATTCTCTTGTTGCCCATAGTGTTTCTTCAGAGAAGTCTGATGTCAGTCTGATCAGTGTTGCTTTACAGGTTGTTTCTTCCCCCTTGTTAGCTTCATTATTTTTTCTTTGTCTTGGACTCTTAGGAGCTTTACCACTATGTGTCTTGCTGTAGATTTGCTTCTTTCATTTAGGTAGTTTGGTGTCCTCTCAGCTTCCTGGATTTCTATGTTCATTTCCTTCTTCAAGCTTGGGAAGTTTTCTTTGATAATTTCCTTTGATAGTTTCTTAGCTTTTGTGGAAACTTTTACTGTTAAGTTTCCCTGTTTGTAATTGGTCTGTTCTGCTTTTCTATTTCTTGTTTAGTCTTGAAAGGTTAGTAATTTGTCCATTTCTTATATTTTATTCAATTTATAGGCATATAGATGTTCATAGTAGTCTCTTATGATTCTCTGTAGAGATATCTGTTGTAAGATACCTTCTTTCATTTCTGATCCTATATTTTAGTATTTTCTCCCTTTTTTTTCTTTGTGAGTCTAGCTATAAGTTTGTGAATTTTGTTAAAGAACCAGTATTTTGTTTCATTGATCTTTTGGACTATCTTTTTTTATATCTTTCACATCAGTTGCTTCTCATATTTTTATTATTTCCTTCCTTCTATGTATTTTTGGTTTGATTTATTCCTTATGTAGTTCCTTAATATGTATGGTTAGTGCTTGCTTCAGCAGCACATATATGAAAATTGGAACTATATAGAGAAGATTAGCATGACCCCTGTGCAAAGGATCATGTGCAAATTTGTGAAACATTCCATGTTTTATTTTTTTTTTTATTTTTTTTTTTAACAGAGGCATGTTTTTATTTATTTATTTGTTTGTTTGTTTTGTTTACACATGCACTGGGTACAGTCAGAAGCGCAGGAGGGTGAGAGAATTCACCAGAGCCAGAGCAGGGAGCAGAGCAGGCAGAAGGACCGAAACACACTGCTGAGGGGAGCAGCGGGCGGCAGGAGAGGTCTGCGCGCCATGTGGGACCCTCCTCCTGTGGCCGGGGAGCAGCCGGGGATCGAACCGGCGCCGCAGAGGCTGCGGGCCACTTCGCAACCCAGCGCTCAACCGCTGCGCCACTGGGGAGGCCCGAAACATTCCATGTTTTAAAAAAAGAAAAGCAAAAGAGGGGTATGGTTGGATAATTTATTTGAACTCATATTTCTTTTTTTTTTTAATTTTTTTTAATAAGTTCTGAGTTTATTTATTTATTTATTTTACACAAGCACTGGGTACAGTCAGAAGAAGCACGGGAGGGTGAGAGAATTCACCAGAGCCAGAGCAGGGAGCAGAGCAGGCAGAAGGACCGAAGTACACTGCTGAGGGGAGCAGTGGGCGGCAGGAGAGGTCTGCGCGCCATGTGGGACCCTCCTCCGGTGGCCGGGGAGCAGCCGGGGATCGAACCAGCACTGCAGAGGCTGCGGGCAGCTTCGCAACCCAGCGCTCAACCGCTGCACCACTGGGGAGGCCCCTGAACTCATATTTCTTGATGCAGGACTGCATGTTATAAACATCCATCTTAATACTGCCTTATTGCCCCATACATTCTGGTAACGCCTGTCTTCATTTCTGTTTGTCTTCAGGTATTTTTTGACTTCTTTGATTTCCTTATTAACTCAATAGTATTGAGTAGTATGGTGTTCACTTTTCACATTTTAGAGGTTTATCCTGGGATTTTTTTTTTTTGGTGGTGGTTGATTACTAGTTCGATACATTTTTATCAGAGCATATATGTGATATGATTTAAGTTTTCATGAATTTGTTGATACTTGTTTTGTGACCAAATCAACTTGTGGTCTGTCCTGGATGATGTTCCCCGTACACCTGGAAAGAATGTGTACTCACCTTTTTGGAGCACGGTGCCCTATAGATGTTTATTAAGCCCATGTGGTCTAATTCTTAATTTGAGGATCCTGTTTTCTTATTGTGTTCTGTGAGGTTGATCTGTCCATTGATAAAAATGGGGTGTTGAAGTCCCCTACTACTGTTGTGATGCCAGTGTCTATTTTCATATTTGTTAGTCATTATCTTACATATTTTGATGCTCCTTAGTTTAGTGCATATTATTCATGAGTGTTATGCCTTCCTTATGTATTGATCCCTCAATCATTATTTCCATCTCTATCACTTGTTACCTTATTTTAGCTATGCATATATTTTTTTCTGCTATAAGTATGGCTATCCTTGGGGTCCCATTTGCTTGTAGGGTTTTTTTTTTCCCAACCATTTATTTTGAGTCTGTGTTCATATTTGAAGCTCAGCAGGGTTTTCTGGAGACAGCAGAATGTTGGATTTTATTTTCTCATTCAGGCAACCACTTTGTGCCTTTTGATTGGTGAGTGTAATCCATTTATATTTAGGGTGATTATTGATAGATGAGGATTTTCTATTGCTAGTTTGTCTTTATTTTTCTCATCCTATCTATTTCATTGTTCAGGTTTTTTTTGTGGACTTCCCTCTTCAATTTAGATAGGAGATCTCCTTTCAATATTTCTTGTAGGAGATGTCAAGTGCTTTGCAAACTCCTTCACCTGTTTGGGAGGGCTTTTATTTCTACCTCATATCTGAGGATTAGTTGCAGGATATAGTGTTCTTGGTTGGCAGTTTTTATTTCTAAGTATTTTGAATGTCATTCCATTCTCTCCTTGCTTGTACGGTTTCTTCAGAGAAATCTGATTTATAAGCCTGAGGGGAATATATAGATTATGTGGATTTGTTGTTGTTGTTTGTTTGTTTGTTTATTTTTTCCCCCCTAGGCACTTTCAGTGCTCTTTCTTTGTCTTGAACTCTTGGAATTTCATGCCTATGTGTCTTTAAGTAAGTTTTGCTACATTATTTAACCAGGTGTTCTTTTAACTTCATGGACTTTGTATATTTCGTTCCTTCTCCAGGTTTGGAAGGTTTTCTTATATTATTTCTTTGAATAAATTCCTTGTACCTTTTTCTCTCTCTTCCTTTCTGGAATACCCAGTATTCTTATGTTGCCTTTACTGAGTGGGATAAGTCTATTCTGTTTCCATGGATTTTTTTTTTTTTTCAGAATTTTTTATATCCTCTATTGATCTTTTTTATTTTTTAAAGATATTATTTATTTATTTATACAAGCACTGGGTACAGTCAGAAGCGCGGGAGGGCGAGAGAATTCACCAGAGCCAGAGCGGGGAGCAGAGCAGGCAGAAGGACCGAAGTACACTGCTGAGGGGAGCAGCGAGCGGCAGGAGAGGTCTGCGCGCCATGTGGGACCCTCCTCCGGTGGCCGGGGAGCAGCCGGGGATCGAACCAGCACTGCAGAGGCTGCGGGCAGCCTCGCAACCCAGCGCTCAACCGCTGCGCCACCAGGGAGGCCCTCTATTGATCTTTTTATGTCCTGCATCTCTGTTATTTTCTTAACCCTTCAATTTCTATTTTCTGTTCACTAATTTTATTTCTGAGGTCACTCATTAATATTTCTGAGTTTTGTTGTATCTCTTTGATCAGCTTTTCTGTGTTTTCTTCCATTTCCTTTATGTTCTTTGTCATGACAATTTTAAAATAGTCCACATCTTTGTGATTGGATTCCAGGGAGTTGTTCTTTCCTTGAGATGACATATTCCCTTGTGGTCTCATGGTGCCATTTGTTGTATTTTTCTGTCTGCCCATTCGTTGCTTTATGTTTCCCTTTACAAAAGAAAAAGTATCTGTAACAGTAACTTGCATTTCTCCTATTTTTCCATCAGGTGGTACTCTGGTTTTATGTTATTTTTCAGGTTTTTGTCATTTGCTGGATTCTGTAGACTTCCATAAGTCTGATCTGGCAGCTCTTGAGTTAGGGTGGGTGATGTGCTTAAAGTGGTCCAGTTGTTGGTGTGAATGTGCTGCGGTGACAATGGCGCTGACTCGTGTTCGTAGCACCAGTAACCCTCTTTTCTAAGATTCTAGACCTTATCCTCTGCAGTCTGTGTGCTGTCAGTGTATTTCATGAGGTTAGTGTTAGTCTGAGGATTGGGGGTAGGCTGAAGTGTAGCCCACTGCACTGTCCTTATTGTTTTCACTAGGAACCCAACCTGTGTATGTGCAGGAGTGGGCACATCAGCTCCTCTCATATATTTCCCCTCAGATAAGGGTGTTTTTCTTTTAAAATTTTAAAAAAGATTTATTTATTTATAGAGCTGAGGTGCAGGCCAGAGATCTGGGGAGGTGAGAGGATTCACTGGAGACAGTGGGGAACAGAACAGGCAGATTGACCGAAGGACTCTGCTGAGGGGAGCAGCGGATGAGACAGGAGAGGTCTGCTGCGCCATGTGGGTTGCTCCCTGGCCAACCAGGGATGGAACTCGTGCTGCAGAGGCTGTGAATTACTACATATTGTGGTGCTTAACCTCTTGTGCCACCAGGGAGGACCAGTCAAGGGTGGTTTATCACCACACCTTTTAACTCTCCCTTCTACAAGGTTGCCAGTTGGCAAATTGGCAGCATTGCCGTTTGTATGGAGGACAATCATCTCCAAGTGTTTCTCTCTACCCATCTCTTGTTTATGAAACATGAATTTCCTCACTGTTCCTTTTGGTGCCATCTCCGTTAATCTCCAACGTCCAAGAGGTGTTCCACTCATACCCCAAATCATCGGACTCTCTGGGTGAGATGCCAGTCTGGATTCTGAGTTTTTGGCTTCAATTGCTACATCATATGCTTGCATTAATAAATAATTGTAAACCTCCTGTTCTCTCTTCTTGAGAAAATTAATCAGACTATAGACTAAAATTGAAAGAAAACTGAGTAACTTCCAGATTAAAAAAAATAGCAGGATAAAACAACATAATCTCCCATGTTTTTTCTTTTCAGAGGAAATGTACATTCATTTTCATGCGGAAGAAATTGAAGTTTCGTAATTGATTTTAAATCTTGCAGTAGATTATTTCTATTTTCCTTCCTTGTTTTATAGTTATCTGTTGATATATTTGGTTCTGCCACCATACTTAAGGCAGAAGGATGGCATCGTTTTCATCATTGAACCTGTCACCTAATCTGTGACTTATGCTTAGAAATGTCAATTGAATGACAGAATACAGGACTGTAAGAGAAATCTCTTTTTTTTCCCCTTTACTTTGTTGTGTGCAGGAGTTGGGGGAGCTTTAGAGAATGATGATCCTTCCAAAATGGTTATGGTATTGGCTGCTACTAATTTCCCATGGGACATAGATGAAGCTTTGCGAAGGCGATTAGAAAAAAGAATTTATATACCTCTCCCAACAGGTATGATGCTTTCCTTTACTATATTTTAATCTTTCAGTTAATTCTTGTTTTCTTTTTCTATTTCTTTAAATCTTTATTCCATCAACATTGTGCTTAAAGAAGTCTACAGTATCACAAAATTATTTTGTAGCAGATGTAAACAGAGGTCATAATCTCTGTTGAAGTTCTTTATATTTCAGAGAAATTCTTCCATTCAGAGTAGACACATTTTAATAAATTTGTTAGGACATCTGAATTTCTAATTTAAAACTTGAAAAATCTTCATTAAGTCTTGTTTAAGTGGTTAAAAGTGAAGTTTTTGGGATCTTTTTCAAAATGTCTTTTTGAAAAAGAATTTCATAGTGCTAATGAATGTTGAATTTCCATATCTGAATTTTTTACTTTTTATATTGTGATAAGATTTGTGTACAGTAAAATGTAAAGATATAATGTGTATAATTTGATAAGTTTTGACAAATGTATACTACTTATTCATACCTTACTGTAGATGCAGGATATTTTTATTGGCTCAGAAAGATCCCATGTGTCCCCCATCAGTTAGTTCAAACCCACAACAGGAATTCATTTTCCTGATTTTAATCACCGTAGTTTAGTTTTACTTCTTATTAAACTTCATCTAAATGGAATAATAACTTTTGTGTTTTTGTCTACTTTATGTCAACATGGTTACAAGTATCAGTATTTTTTTAATGATATCACTAAACCACAATTTGTTTTTTAACAACTTTGAGTTTTTTTTCTAGTTTTTGACTATTATGAATAAAACTAAATATTCTTATACAAATCTTGTATGGATGAATGTTTTTAATTCTTATTGGTAATATAGATAAAAATAAGATAGGTGGACCATAGGGTAGGTATATATTCAAAATGTTCTCCTAAGTGGTAATGCCATTTTATACTTCCACCATCAGTGAATGAGAATTCCAGTACTTCTTCATCCTTGACAACATTTGCTATTATCCATATTTTAATTTTAGTCATTCTAGTAATGCTCATGTTTTTGGTCCTAATTTGCATTTCTCTGATGACTTACTTACAGAGTACCCTTTCATGTGCCTATTGGTCTTTGGTTTTTCTTTTGCACAATCTCTTCTCAAGTCTTTTGCTTAGTTTTTAATTGGTTTATTCATTATTTTACTAATGCTTTGTAGTTCTTTATCAGTTACATGGATTGTGACTATTTTCTTCCAGTTTGTAGTTTGTCTTTCATTTTCCTTTTTTGGTATCTTTTGATAAGCAGTGTTTTAAATTTTGATCAAGTCCTCATGTTAAATTTTTCTTTTCTGGATAATGCTTTTTATATTTTTGTTTACCCCATGTGAACAAAAGGTTTTGCCTATATTTCCTTTTAGAAGCTATAGTTAGCGCTGTGATTCATTTTGAATTGATTTTATGTATATATGTCAAGAGTTGAGTTTCATTTTTTCATATCTATATCTAGTTGTTTTAGCACCACTTCTAAGTTGTCAAATTTATTGGGATTTGACTTAATACAATGTGGAAACTAAATAAATGGCTTCTGTGAGGCTTGTGATTTCCTCTCCGATTCTTGAGTCTAAAGTTCGTAGGGAAGTTAATCAGGAAAAGGAGATGAAGTGATAGAAGTAAGGACAAATTGTAATCTGCAGAGATGAGTTGGAACCTCTCAGGATAGACGGGAACCCATGTTGGGCTCCCATTGCTTCTAAGATTTCCAGTTTTGATGACCATCATGTCCTACGGAAGAACCTGGCATTATTTTAACAGTTCTAAGTGTACTTTTGGTCAGGAGTCAAAAAAATGAAGGAGGAAATCTGGCAGGAGCTGGAAAGAGATAGAGGCATATGTTCTGCTCTACTCTTATAACGGGAGTCAGCGAATAAGTCATGATTTTTTAGAACTGCAAATGCATCTCATGCTTTGCATCAGCTTTCTGAGTTCATACATTTCTGCCCTAAGATCTCATATATAATTACTGTTCTCCATGCTAAAATCTTTGCTGAAGGTAACAGAATACAAATCTAAACATCTTACTTACCTTCCTATAGTCTGTGGGATCTATAATGGTGGCTCAGTTTTCATTCCTAAAATTGGTAATTTCTGCTTTATTTCTATTCTTGATAATTCTTGCTAAAAGTTTATTAGTACTAATCTTATCAAAGAATAATCTTTTGCTTTAATTTTCTGTTTCTTAGTTCTTTGATTTCTTCTTTTATTTTTATTATTTCTCCTTTATACATTGAGTTAATATTTATTTTTCTGAAGTTAGATATTTTTACCATTGATTTTAAACCCTTCTTTTTAAAATATAAACATCTAAAGCTATAAATTTCTCTTTAAGGCACTGCTTTTCTTTAATTGCACAATTCTGTTGTATTATACTTTATTAAGTATTGAAGAAATATTTTTTAATTTTCTTTTTCTCTCTCTTCTCTCTCTCATTTGACAGTTGTCTATAGCCATGAAGTCAAGATACAGAGCATATCTTTTCATCCTGAAAATATTTATTTTGGATTTCATAAAAATAGAATCATAAAATGAGTAATTCACAAAAGGAACTATTTTGTGAATACTTTCTTTCACTTCGAATAATAATTATGAGATTCACCAAGATTGTTTATTTTTTGGTGGTGAGCAGTAGTTTATTATATGGACATATCACAGATCATTTATCCATTCTCTTACTGGTGGATATTTGGATTGTTTCTCATTAGGGACTGTTGTAGATAAAGCTGCTATCATATTCACATTCAGTTCTTTGCAAGGACCTGTTTTGATTTCTATGGGATAAATATCTATGAGTGAAGTAACTAGGTCATGTATGTTTAATTATAGAAAATATGTTGACATTTTCTTCAGTTGTCCTCTTTCAAGATATTTTGTCTTTGTTTTTCAGCAGTTTGACTGTGATGTTTCTGGGATTTCCCTTTAGCTTGTATGTTGGACTTTTTTGATAATGTTGCAGAGGTTTCTGGAACTCAGTTAAATTTTTTTTAATCCTTTTTCTGTCTTCAGGTTGGATACTTTTATCTGTTTTTTTATTTTATTTTTTTTCTGTTCACTGATGCTTTCTTCTGCTGTCTCCAGTCTATTTTAAATCCTACCCAAGCGGGCCTCCCCAGTGGCGCAGCGGTTGAGCGCTGGGTTGCAAAGCTTCCCGCAGCCTCTGCAGCACCGGTTCGATCTCCAGCTGCTTCCCGGCCACCAGAGGAGGGTCCCACATGGCGCGCAGACCTCTCCTGCTGCCCGCTGCTCCCCATCTGTGGTGTACTTTGGTCCTTCTGCCTGCTCTGCTCCCTCCTCTGGCTCTGGTGAATTCTCTCACCCTCCCGTGCTTCTGACTGTACCCAGTGCTTGTATAAATAAATTTAAAAAAAAAATCAAAAATAAAATTTCCATATCTAAATATATTAAAAAAAAATCCTACCCAAGCAATTATTTATTTCAGATATATTTTGCAAGTCTGATAATCCCATTTGGTTATTTTTTATAGTTTCCATTGATTTGCTGAGGTTTCTTGTTTGTTCATTTATTTTGTTACCTTTTCCTTTAATTCCTTGTCATTTTCCCTTTAAAAGGTGGAGCTTAATTTCCCTCCTCTTGAAAAAAAGTTTAGACATAGTGATTTGCTTCTAAGTAACAGAATATGACAACAGTGAAAATATGTGACTTTTGAAGCTAAATCTTAAAAAAAGATAGTTTCTGCCTGGTTCTCTCTCAGATCATTTGCATTTGGGTAAGCCAGCTGCCATATCATAAGATCACTCAAACAGTCTATGGGGAAGCACATAATGAAAAAAACTGGTTTCCCAACCAACAACATCTTGCCAGTCATGTGAGTTACCTGCCATTGAATTTCTACTTCCTGCTCTCTCTCTCTTGCACACATGCACTTGTGCATGCACACACACACAGTCTCATCAAAACTGACATATTGTCCTTGGTCTCGTGAGAGACCCTATATTAGCCAGGGCTCTTCAGAGAACTAGAACTAATAAAATGTGTGTGTGTGTGTGTGTGTGTATGTGTGTGTATTTATTTATACATAGAGAATGAGAGATGGAGTGGGAGAGAAATTTATTATAATAATTGGTTTATGGGATTATGGAAATTGGCAAGTCCAAAATCCATAGTGGGTGCCAATAAGCTAGAGACTCAGGGAAGATTGACAATGCAGATCAAATCAGAGGGCCACCTGCTGGCAGATTTCTCACTTGCTTAGGAGAGAACTGTTTTGTTCTGTTCAGGCTTTCAACTGATTGGATGATAACTGCTCACATATGTACAGTAGACTTTACTCAAAGTGTGCTGATTTGAATATTGATCTTATCCAAATACTTTCATAAACATTAGGAATGGTATGTGACTAAATATCTGGGCACTGTGGACCAGCCAAGTCAACACATAAAATTAACCATCCCAGACATCAAGCTTGAACTTTGTAGCTTGCTCCAAAATTCCTAAGCCGTAGAAACTGTGAAGATAATAAATTGTTTTAAATCACTAAGTTTTGGTATAATTTGTTGTTCAGACATAGGTATTCATACCCTCTTCTGTTGGTTTTTGTCAGTTAATTCTTATGTCTGGAACATCTATTTCTATTGACTATTTTATTAATTTTCTTGGTTATGGGTTAAAATTTTTCCTATTTCTTCACATGTCCAATAGATTCTGTTTTGAGGTTCTGTATTATAGGAAGTCTAGATTATGTTGTTTCCTTTAATGGGTCAATGTTGAATTTTCTTCTGACAGACATTCAAATTATTGGCAGAGCCTAAAAAAAAAACCACACAGCAAACTAACAACACTATAATTCCTCACTGTTGGTGCTACATGTAAATAGTTGTCTCTTATATTTTGTTTTATAGTCATTTATCATAGAAGGACCAGTCTGCTGTTAGGTTTTTTTCATGAGGATCAGATATGGAAGCCTCACTTAGGACTTTTAAAACTTAATTTTTCACATAATCCCAGCTTTTGTTGCTCAATTCAAGGCTCTGTGATTATAAAAATGAGTA